ATCAAAATGATACCTTGAGTTTGAGTCTCTGATTCATGGACAACATCGTCTGCCCACTCATCACTCAACACGTTTTCATGTGCCAAGAGTCTTAACCAAATAGGCCCAGCAAGCCCAACAATCAGGGGGCTTACGTTAAATTTCTCCACCAGAGTCTTGCACTGCATTTGGATCATAGCTTGTAACCCCATAACATACCTCAACCGGATCTCTGAATAATAGTCTGTGTAAGTCAAAGAAATTTGAGATGATCCAAAATCACTAGGCACTGCAGGCCCAACTCCATCATCTCCATTACACTCGTCGTAGTCATCAAAGGTTTTCAAAGACTCTAAATGCTGGGAGAGTTGTACCTGAGATATGGGTACAGGTTGACTGACCTGGCAATATTGACGGCGCTGACTAGTAGAGTACATACCCCCATCTACGTTGAATAGGTCATCATCATCAACACCCGTGTCCATGATGTCAACTGCTTGAGAGCCGCAACGAGTGCAATAGAAGAACCCATCACCGCCATCGTCAAAGGATAGATTGCCACAAACCTCGCAGCACCTTTGAATCTTCTCTGTCATTCTAATTTATTGTATGGGTCATTGATTGAATCCTCTGCATTAAAGCACCAATTATTTAGTCGAGTAACACCAGGTCAAATCAAGGAGGTTAAAATCTTCAATTCATTAAGATTCGATCTTGCTTAAGACACGGGCACTCTATGCTGTGAATCTAACTAAATCAGAAATATTCTCAAGAAACTAAAGGAAAAAAAAAAAGATCAGGCAAACAGAAATATTCTAAAGAAACTAAATCTAATATCAGGAAAAAAAATTTGAACCAAAACTAGTTTTTTTCTTTTGACGAAGTTACAATCAACAAAGGTAAGGTTGTGTACATCACCCAACCCACACCAAACTTCACTTGTGGGATTACAATGTACTTCACGTTGTGTTTTCACTTGTATCATTGTTGCTTATGGTGTTTCATTATCACATGATTTTTTATTGTACTTTTGCATTGTTCCTTGTTATTTGCTATATTCTCTACATTGTCTCCGTTTTCTATACCTGGATTCATTGCACTTGAGCCAAAGGTCCTTCAGAAACAACCTCTCTACCTCTACAAGTTAGCAATAAAGGTCTGCATACATTCTACCCTCCCCAGACCTCACTTGTGGAATTTCACAGGATTTATTGTTATTGTATACTTCCCAAACAAAAACACACTTGTTAAAAATATCCCTATTTCTAATGGACGAAAACTAAAAAAGTTTAAAAATTTATACTTTTCCTAACAAGGCTACTTATTTGGCATAGAACTTGTGATCTATAGGTCAAATACGAAGACAACCTATTGTTACTCCAACAATCCCCCAATAAGAAGGTTGTGTAAGGGTCAGTTATGCCCTAAATTTTATTCCTACCAAACATCAATTCTATATGTTAGCAATCACAAAACTAAGTAAAATCTGTGCAATTGAAACCAATAGAGACAATCAGGTTCAAATTTTTATAATTACAAAAAAAAGAAAAAAGTTACCAGAATGGCGAAGCAAGTAGCAACAGCTCGGATTCAGCAATTTTCTTCCCGGCGCTTGATTAAGAAGGAATAAAAAATACCAAAAGTAGAACAAATATGTCAAATATTGTCTCCAGCAAAGCAATTCCGGTGGCTGCTCCTCCCTTACCCAAACATCTAGTTCGAGCCAGAATATGAAAAAAAAATTACTTCCTGAATGGAAAGTGAATCCCAAATAGTTGAATTCAATACACACGCTAAATAACGAATGAAAAAACAAAAAAATACTAATAAATCTGATCACTTAAATTTACTACTCTCTCCGTCCCATTTTATGTGAGGTAGTTTGACTCGGCACGGAGTTTAAGAAAGAAAGGAAGACTTTTAAAACTTATGGTCTAAAATGAAGGATAGAAATTTGTGTGGCTGTAAATCATTTCATTAAGGGTAAAATAGACATTTTATAGTTAAATTGTTACTTAATATAGAAATGTGCCATTCTTTTTGGGACTGACTAAAAAGGAAAATAAGTCACATAAATTGGGACAGAGGGAGTAACATAAATTGGGAAAAAACCTTATAACATATTGTTCCACTTATTTTTGCCTTTAAAGTTGTATTGAAATGCATTTAAACATAAATATCATGTTATATTCTTTGTAAGAGGTATAATTAAATATAATTTCATCTTCAACTTTAGCTACATAAATTTCAACTTGATATTGTAAAAGAGAATGAAGTCAAAAAAATTTCCAGCACACTTGTATTTACACTGTTACACTTACCTAAACTCTACTCTCTTCCCAACCCACAAATTGTTTATACATGTAGTGAAGATGGGATCTGGAAGAAGGAAAAAAAAGCTAATTAAAATGGTGTCTTTATTACTAGTATACTAGTGTCTTTCTCACTCACCTATCCCCTTTTGCTCTTCAAGAACTTAGCTTTAGATACATTAAAGTTTGTTTTTTTTTTTTTGATGACAAACATTAGAGTTTGGTTTTTTTACTTAAAGTTCTGTCCTTTTCATCTTCCTGTTTACAGGATATTCCATTACTGTACCAATCTGTAGTACTTATCATTCTTGAAAGTAGTTAGTCAAAATTGTGTCTAAATGAGAGGTTTTTGGTGGTCTACTGTTTCTTCATTCATATAAGCAAAGTTGGTTGGACTAAAATAACTGTTAGAACCGAAATAATTAGGTGTAATAAGGAAGCTAACAAAACAAAGAAGACAAGCGAGAAATATATCAAGAGACACAAAAATTTAAAGTGGTTTGGTCAAATGACCTACATCCACAAAGGAGATGGACAATCCACTATATAAATATAAGAGTACAAAATATAGAGAGAAATAATATCAACCAATTCACTCAAGAGGTTCATACAAATGATAACGTATCACTTGTATCTCACAAATTCTTTCCCCTAACCATAACTCTCAAAGCCCATTGAACTACATTGTGAATGTTGATTAAGTTAGAAGGAACACGCTTCTATTTATAGAGTCGACTAGCCAATCCTAAACTTTTTCCTAAAAGGAAAACCTATTTATGGTAAGAAACTCAGGACAATTAATACCCAACAAAAAACAACCCTATTGACTTGCTTATGGTATAGGGAAATGTAGAGTCTCTTGCTTTTGATTTTGATGTATTGGTTATTAGTGAGTGAATTTAAGAAAAAGTGAATAGTAAGTAGCAACAACCAAAATTAGATCAGTAATCTCCAAATTAAGAAAACTTAACAAGTAAAGATCAGTACTTTAAACAATTGAATACAGATAAATCCAACCCCAAATCAAATACACCCTCAACCCCCCAAAAAAACCACTAAACCCATGACAAGAACTACAAAAAGCTCAAAACTTGATAAGAAATTGAATGCACTAAAGAACACCCAAAAAGGAAAACTAAACAAAAATCAAGAAAAGGGACAAATTCAATCACCAAAAGGCCAAAAGGGATTGTGATTCTTGAAGTTAAGACAGTCCCACAGAAACCCAACTAAAAAAGCTCAAAACTTTATAACAAATTGGATGTTATAACCAACACCCAAAAAGGAAAATCAAACGAAAATTGAGAAAAAGGGACAAAAGGGGTTGTGGGTCTTGAAGTTAAGACAGTACCTGAAGGAGCAAACAAGTCAAAAACTCAAAATTGGTGAAATCTTGATGATGATGGTTGATCCTGTTGACAGAATAAGAAAGGCATGGTATGGAAACTGTTAAAGAAAGAGTAAAAAGCAAAAAAAGATGAAATCTCTGTGTGTGAGAGAGAAAATGGGTTGTGGGCTTCTCTACCCCTATTAGAATTGGGCTCTTTTGAGCCCAATTTGCTTACCCACAGCCCAAAGTTCCATTTTCCAAAACGAAGCCTAGTCTTTAGAGTTTACATCTCAGTCGCCGGTTGCCGCTGCTCGCCGTGGTCCTCGCCGTACTCAGGTGAGCTTCATCATTTTTCTTTAATCATTTGTTTTTTTTCATGAGATATGAATTGAATCAATTTATGCTTAAATATGTTGTGTCAATTGGTTAAGGTTCTTGTGCTCTTTGTCTCCGCGTTTGGGTGTGATTTGGTGGTAAATTGGTATGTACACTGTTTATTATTGTAAGAAGCTTTAGAGTTGTGCATTAGCAATTAGCATATACAGTTATGCACTTGCTAGCTTTTTTCTTTTGATAATTATGGTGTCCGGGGAATGCCAAACACTATGAGAGAGTTGATGTTCAGTTGGAAGAGCGTGAGAGGAAGGAGAAGAGGAAGGGCTTGGAATATGATTCCACTTGCGCTAATGTGTGTTGTTTGGAGGGAGAAATAGGAGAGCGTTTGAAGGTGTAGAGTCGAGTTTTTCTCAATCGAGGAATAGTCTTTGTTCTCTTGTTTTCTTTTGGCGCTCATAGAAAGTCCCTTGTTGTATAGACGATTGGGTGGAGTTTGTAGAGAATCATATCTTTTTGTAAATTCTCTACTTTTTGGTATATCTCTTGTATGCGGCCGTTGTGGTCATGTTTATGGATGGACATATTTTTACTTGATCAAAAACAAATTATGGTGTCAGGTTCAGGTTATGTGTCCATCGACTAATTCAACGGGACATGCTACCTCACACCAGTATATACTCTATATATTGGGTAACTCTATCCATCAAAACTTTGACACATGAGAAGAAATCATCTAGTGTTTTTGTCTTCGATAGGAATTGAACTGAGGCACTTGTTAACTTGCTTCTCCTTCATGTCTGAAACTTTTTATTTATTCTTTCTTATTGTAAGTGTTGTCACTATATAGTTAGGAAGTGGAATTAGAGCTTCCATCATCTTCTTCTTCTTGATATATATTTTAATATTTATGAAAGCATTGGAGTTGTGCATAATATATACACTTGTACACTTGCTTCTCATTCACACCTCAAACTTTTTTTATTCGTCTTTTATGATCCCAAGTGCTGAAATGGGGTTAGAGTTTGTTGTCATCTCGCACCGTCATGATTGGTGTTGAATGTCGAGTCTGCTGTGAGAGGCGCTTAAAGGTTGTTAAGACATTAGACCGAGGGGTGAACCTACTGGGGAGGGGAGAGGTTGCTTCCTAAAAAGAACTTGGTTTGGCTCGCCTTTTGAAACCAAACAAAGAGCGTTTGGAGTACCATTTTATTTTATACTATATCCAGAAGATGCGGATTATTTTTAGATTACATGATCTTACAGTTGCGTTTTGGTTTTTTTCCAGGTTGTTGATTGATCTTTCAGAGGGATCAGTAGATGGTTACTAGAATTCAGAAATGAGTTTGATGATTTCGCGACTGAGGCAGCATTTGCCTGCTGTACTCTTCAAACAATCTGTTCGATCCAATGTGGCTGACTCCTATTTTGTTACCTCAACTATTTTTACTCGACACTTCTCTCAGCAAGTAGAGATTAACTAGAGAAAGCTTCCAGCCGATTATGATCCTGTGACTTTTGATCCTACTGAGCATCGTAGTCCTCCATCAGAAAGGGTATGGAGGCTCGTTGATGAAGTATCAGGACTTACCCTGGTCGAAGTTACAGAAGTGTCTTCGATTATTATGAAGAGGTTGGGCATGACAGAGCAACCAACGGTTGGAGTTATGAAGGCAGGGGCTGCTGAATTGGCAGCAGCTATGAAGGGACCAGAAGCAGCTAAGGAGGAAAAGAAACCGGAGAAAACTGTTTTTGAACTTAAACTGGAGTCATTCGAGTCAGCTCAAAAGATAAAGATAATCAAAGAGGTTCGCAGTTCTACTGATTTGGGACTCAAGGAAGCGAAGGACTTAGTCGAGAAGACTCCTGCTGTTTTCAAGAAGGGAGTATCAAAGGAAAAAGCCGAACAAATAATTGACAAGATGAAAGCTGTTGGAGCAAAAGTTGTTATGGAGTGATAAATATTTGATTTGATATCGGGTTCTGGGTCGTTCTATGTTGCCTTGGTCCTTTCACCAACTGCACGAATCTCAAGATGGCGAAGACTCAACCCTCTTCGAGAAAAAGAAGAATGGACGAGGCTATCGAAGATCCAGACAAGATATGCACCTCTTCAAGAATGATGAAAAACAAATCCATCAACTTTCATATGGTATTTTGGCCTGAACTCCTCGATACTCAATCAAATCCTCTCTTTTGATGACTAAATGCGTTTCTATAGTCCCATATTTAATAATGCCCATATTTTTTGAAACTAAATTATGCTTCATTAGGCTATTATACAATTTTGTAGTCTACATGTGTTCCATAGAAAGGCTAATAGATCATTTTCATGACAGATTATCTGTTTAGTGTTGTAAACTGCATTTTGTGTTTGTATTTTGATGTGTGTTGAGTACAGAGAACTGGTAATTGTACCCAATTCATAAACGAACAGGACGGACAAGTGACGATTAGCCGAGGGGCTCTTGGACCTAAGGAAATAGATTGTAGCTGGGTACAAATAGATCGGAACGAGTAGGCATGGTACAGCAGAAGTCCATGGGTTGACACATGGTTGCAGCTTTGGGCTGGTGATTGATGATTGACGATTGACAATTGACTAAATTGCGGTTTTTGAGTCGTGCTCGTCGCACAAAACTTAGTCTCATATACATACACTGTATGCTGGCTATAATTATATTTTATTACCATATGCTATTATTAGCCCATTAAGTTTTAAAGCAAAAAATAAATAAATTGATATCCAATAATCTAATCAACGAAAAATAGCAAATTAAATTTAAATGCAACTATTTTATACAAATTGGGGACAACAATTTCTTCCAATATTTAAAAATAATAACTAAGAATATGTGGATCAATTCACAAATATAATTTTCTTGAAAGTCATAATTACATAAAAAGAACCAGAATTATAGTACATGCCACAATAATTAAAGATTGAGAACTCCAAAACCGCCCTTGTAGTACAAAATCCTGAGAAAAAAAATAAAAATAAATATAAGTACATAAAAATAATAATAGAAAAAAATAAATTCAATGTTAAAGAATCTTAAAAGATTAAATTAAAGATCAAGTTTTAATCCTAAATCCATCCTTGTTCCGGATTAGTCAGGAACAAAGCAATTATTTGAAGTTTCCGAATTTTACACTACAATAAAAAAAATATTCAGATTCGAGCATTAAGAATGAAGAAACTCCTGGTATTATCCCTTTACTAGACCCTATAGGCCTATACAACGCGAACTAGAATGAGAGACAAATTGAGCTCATATACTACGGGCTCAACTGAATCAATATTTTTTAACACAAAATCTATAATTTGAAGAGTCTACTAAGTTCAATATCAAGAACCCTACGAAAGATTGAAGATCAAATTCAAATCTTGAATCCATCTCTAATCCGAATTAGTCAGGTCAGTAAATTTCGAATACCGAATGAAAAAAGAAGTTGAAGACATACCTTTGATGATGCAGAAGACACAAGTCCTTTAAATCCAATATCATAAGCAATACTTCCATCAGCTTTAAATAATCCAAAGTTTCTCTCAGAAGTTGGGCCAGGCTTCAAATTCTCATTAAACAAAGCAAAAACATAACCTTTTGCCATCATTTTGGGCCTATAAGGTGTACCTTTCTTCTTCATTAACCTTTTATGCAAATTAAAATTATACGTCCTGGCGTTCTTAGGGTCCGCACCTGGTTCATTATCATCTCCTTTAGATGCCCAACCGGTCTCCGATACGATAACTTGCATTTTCGTATACCCTAATTTCTCTAATGCAACATATGTTGCATCAACCATTGCATCAAACATGTTGTCATAATGCAACTTAGTCTTAGGATCAACAATCCCTTTATTTGGTTGAAATAAAGCATAGTTTATATCAATATGAGAAGGGTCAAATTTATAGGCTAAAAATGGATATGCATTTATGTACAAAGGTGAGCCCACTCTATTGAAAAAATGTAACAATGGGCCTAAATATGGCATCATACTTTCTTTAAATGTACCATTTGAAGGAGGATATGTACTACTAAAAATTGCCTCGGAATGTGGGGTTGAAACCTCGATGGTATTGGTCAATCCTAACCTCCTGAGAGCGCGGTATACACTTCTAACCGCGGGTACTAGTGCTTCAGATATACTTGTATCACCACCTAGTATCTCATTTCCAACCGCGATACCTCTAATTGAGGTACCAGGGAGGTATGGTTGTAGGTTAACTTGTATCCATTCGAGGGCTATTGACCCATTTTGGCTAACGTCTTTTAGTAACTTATCAGGTAGACAAACTGAGATTTCGATTCCAGAACCACTAAAGGCTCTTAGAACTCTAGAATCCGCGTCGTAGATTCTTATGTTCTTGATCTTGTTCATCCTTAAAAGTCTTAAGACATCTTCAGGTGCTGGGATGTTGTCTGAAATTTTTCCATAATTTATACCATATGTGCCTGTCATTGCATGTACAACTATTGAACCTGTCCAACAACAACAAGAAAATAGTAAAAGGGGGAATTGGTTAAAAATAACATATACTAGACGAAATATCTTAATTTTATCATCCAACATAATATCGTGTTGTACATATCGTTGACCTTAACGAAGCTCCAATTTGAAGTATAACATAGGGTAAATTTGGACCTTTTCTTGGAAATATCTTAGAAATATTCTGACACGTGGAATTCATTCGGTCTATACTGGAACTTTGTTAAAGTCAATGAAAAATATGAGAACATGTAAGGGTATGAATGACCAAAAGTTTAACCGATGGTAAGAATTTTTAAAAATTGTACAGTAAAAAGGTAAATTTAAGCAAACTTCCATTTACAAGGAAAATCATTGGAGATAAAATCTAGAAACTTAATTAATTTCTCATCATCATAAACTGGATATATGTATAAAAATCAACTAATTTGACTCCCAATATACACATAAAAAAAACACAATCATTGTTGCAACACTATATAGTGTATATCAGAGAAAAAAAGCACAAAGCATCCCGTATCAGCAGTGTTCGAGAAAGGACCGCACCCTAATGCAAATACTAAGTCGTAACCTATAGACTCTCAAAGAAATTTCAAATAATCAAGAATGATTAAGTTGTTAAAAAAACATACCACTAAAGAGAAGAAGGAAGCATATGAAGATGAATGATGAATTGGCCATAATCTTGAGAGGATTAATAATAAGTGAATGTTTATAAATGGCTAATATTAATTTCTTATTTGCTAGGTTTGTAATATTATTAGTAGTAGTAACATAGAAATGGAACCAATATACACAAAAAAACCAAACAAAGATTCCAAACCTTAGTTTAAAGATGAAGGGCATGAGCAAGGCAAGTTATGGTTTTCTTTGGAATATACCAAACAAAAAAACATTTTTGGTTTTTCTAAGGTATTAGAATTTATTCCTACCTTTTGCATTTAGCCTTTCCTTATACCTCGTGTGGGCCCTTTTTTTGGTTTTCCGTCTGGTGTTAGATACCCACTTTTGAATCTGAATAATCCAAATTCGCGTAGAGTCTCACTTTTTGGGCAAAATGCTGCCTACCAAAGACCATTTCATTCACATGCATGATTCAAATTCAAAACTTTTTTATTAAGGATAAAGTAATACCATCCATGTGCTTCTATAAGATAAATTTCGAGCCAAATTACACGTACTTTTAATTATTTTATTTACTATCTCCACTATTATAGATACCAAATAACTCGATCCACCAAAGTTTTGACAGATGAAAAAAAATCAGGAACCTACTAACCTGAAGATTTTTCATCTACTTAATTTCAATCTGTATTTATCCTTCATTATTATTTTTTGAGAATATGATTGATCAAAACGGAAAATATTCAAAGTGTCACCCTATATTAACTACTAGATCAAAAAATAAATTTTAAAAAGAAAATAGAAAAAACAAATAAATGAAGCAAAATGCCACACTAAAAATTGTTAGAACAGAATAGTCATAAACTTGAGCACACATTAATTGCACAACTTGAACACACAAAAAAAGTGTATTTGTACATTGCTTTTCTTGAGGTAAAAAAAAAAAAAAGAAAGGGGATCCCGGGGGAAGGCCGTACACCAAGGGGGTGTAACGTAGGCAGCCTATCCTAATGCAAGCATTAGTGGCTAATTCCACAGCTCATACCCATGACCTATAACAAATTTACCGTTGCTCCAAGGCTCCCCTTTCTTTCCTTTAAGGTAAATATGCACTAGAATACTATGCTTCAGGAAACAGATTTGTTGGCTGAAGAATGATCCTCTTATAGCACAATGAGTTTTCTGTGCACATGACCTCCAGCAGAACCTCCTTCGTGATCGTGATCATGAAAGATAAGGGTCAAAATACCAACCAAACTTAGCACTGAACCGACGAGGAGCTTGTCATAACGTTCCACCCAGTGGAACTTGAGTTGACTTGCACCGTAAAATGATAGAGCCACCAGTGAGGTCATCACAGTTATGGTGCTGCAAGTTAAGTATAAATTTGTGTCAAGCATCCAGAAATTCAGATAAATCAAAACAAGTCCAGCAATGAGCTGGTAGTGACAAATCTAATGAGTTTTGTGGGCATTTCATCGATGGAGCTACATAGAAAAAGTCTGTCTCATGAGAACAATTTAGATATCAAGAAATACAACTAGCGTGGACACGGGTTCCATTCATTGTAAGAAAGTTCACTACAGCAGCCTGGAATGAAGTAGTTCCATATCTAAAATTCAAACAGAGGTACTATTAGAAAGTTTACCAACTCTTGCAGCAGATTGACCCGAATGAATGTTACAGTTGGACGAAGGATGAAGGAGAAACATAAAATAATAGCACCCCCGCAAATAAAGAGAAGCACAGCTACTCGGGTATGAACAAGATCTAGTCGTCACTTCTCACAGTCCATGACATCAAATACTAGTCAATGTTGTGCATTAAAATAAGTTTCTAGAGCTTTAAACAATACTGACAAAGTAACTTCAGTAAGATACAAAAGCCACAGGAATTAAAAAGGACCAGGGATCTCTAAAACTTTATATTATTTCAAGAAAGTAGATGGCTCACTCCATACATGCCCTTGAGGCTACCGCCATGGCGCCATCTAAACCCACTACTTCATCCCACCCCCTTGTTCCATATCTTTTTCTCTAATAACACCAAGTGGTTTGCTTCTATTCCTTTTCTCAAGAGTAACCTATGTTTTCCCAAAAGAAAATGCAATAAAAAGAGTATGTAATCCACTTAAATACAAAGTAAAGTGAAATTTAGAAGCAAATACCTGAATAACAGAACTATGATGGCAAGCACCATCATGGAGGATGAGTTTCCAACAGCAAGAAACACAGGGAGAGTGGTTGCACAAGGAGACAATGCAGGAACAAGGACAAGCCCTGCTACGGCCATTTTCTCCATGGGTTGATTGTGTGAATGGCTGTGACCACCCTTTCCGCAAAGAAACAAGATGATATAACTACCACCAAGGACTATAAGCAAGAGGGAAGCCAGTTTGTGCACTGATTCCTCACCAGCAATTGTGTTTGTTATGGTTATTGCTGTTATCCCAAGAATCGAAGTGGATATTACATGTAATACTGCTCCAAATGCAGCTGTCACAAGAGTAGTCAGATTAGAATCACATGCAGGAATTTAAATCCAGGCACTTTAACCGAATTTTAGTGCTTTTGAGGTACTCACTCCATTCGCAAAGAGTACTTAATTTAGTGTCTAATTGACTAATCTTAAGTTGATTTCAGATGATAACACTTTTTTCTGGAAAAACCTATACAACGGAAAGTACATGAAGTGGTACCAACACAAATTTCAGAAATTAAAATTTCAAGAAAATATTTGAGAAAATTGCGTCCAAAAATGACATTGTAACTACGTCAAATAATCAAACAGTTAGGAGTAGGACGAAAGGACTAAGGAGCATAAAACTCTTGAATTAATTCAAATACTTTTAGTATTAGAGAAAAATGCACTTTGAGTTGAGAGATTATCTCCATAAATTCATTCATTTCAAAATAAAATAAGAAAAGTATCTAATACTAAAGACTCAACCTAGATTAACAGGGCAGAAGGTTGACCTAAACACAGATCTCTACATCAGATAGAACTCAAATTTATGAATATATATACTATTTAGTGGTTAAATGAGAAAGGACAATATTGATCATTTACAAAGGTCTTGTGAATTTTATGACATGAATATGTTTGTCCACATAGTGTTTTAAACCTAAGAAGCAGCTTATTACACTTGAAAAATAAAGAACAAACACTGGCTATGATTCACAAGAAATTATGAGTACCAAAAACCAACACAAGAAAAACATCCAACCTGATCAAGAAAAGCTCAGCACACCTGCTTAAAAACAACATAATATTGGAGAAAATTTTCACAGCAAATTCCTAGATTGAAGTTATGTAACTTAAACTTATAGTTATGGTTCGCATCAACAACTAAATCAATTCTACATTCCTTGATTGAAGTTATATACATATTTTATTATGAAAAAAAAGGAATGAATGTAAACAAAATTTGGACCATTTCAAAATTTGTGCATGTCATTTGCACAGGGCATGCTAATCTTCCTTGATTTGAGGTTATATTTTGTTTGCAACAACTAACCTTCATATATTTAACTACCTTCACCTTTTTTTATAATAGAAAGGAAAGTATTGTAAAAGAAAGGAATTTAAGCAACATAAGAGGAAACAAACATGGAGTATGAATTCCTCTCAAAATAATAGGATAATTGAGTAATTCTCACTCTATCGGAGGTTATGGGAGGATATGCTTACATGGTTTGGCATCACTTGGGTAATGCCAAGATGCGTGAAGGAGTTGATATACAGTTGGAAGAATGGAGCTAGGAGAAGAAGGCACAAGACGTGGAATGTTACTCTAGTCCTCTTGCTTTTTTTTGAAATTGGTAACATTTGTATTTCATATAGTACTTAGGTAGTACTGAAAAACCATATTTACAAAAGCAGTAAGGAAGTATAATCTATCCAAAAACTGAACCAAATCTAAATAGATCCTAAAACATCTATGATTGACTCAATTTCATTGGAGTAGACATTTGTACATCAAAAGCAAATCAACAAAATACACTTAAGCTTTACTTCCTACAGGTTGTTGTTCCGATTCTCAAAACATCTATCGTTTCTCTCCCTCCATATAGTCCACCAAATACTAGCAGGGATCATCCTCCTCCATCTTTCTCTGTTTGTAGCCCCAACTCCAGCCGTCTCCCAACTGAATAGAGTCTCGGCAATCTTGCTAGGCATACACCAAATACTAGTCCTCTTGCTTTAATGTGGGTCATTTGGAAAGAGAGAAATAAAAAATCTTTTGAAGGGTTGGAGATGAGCTTTGATCAACTGAGGAGTAGTCTCCGCTCCCTTATTTTCTTTTGGTGCACCAAGAACTCCTAACTTCCTATTTGTTTAGAGGATTGGGTGTCTTTTGGAGAGAACCATAGTTTGTAGGTTTCTCATTTTTTGGATATGTCTCTTGTATACGACCAAGTTGCCTTGTTATAATCAATGAAAACCTTACTTGATCAAAAAAAAAAAAAAACGGCCCATTGATAAGTCTTGAAAGAAAGACCCTATTGATCTAACAACTGGAAAAAAATCATCTGATTTCTTGATTTTAATGACCATAAATGTCTAAAGAACAAGTACGAGGACAAATTTCTAATTTAATGGAAGTCACATCATAGGAAGGCTGAAGCTCTATTTGAATGTCTTATTTTATCTTTTTGATACGTCTATCAAAATATCTTGATTCTTACACGCATCCAAGCCTTAGAAAAGGATGCCAATTAAACCTCAAGCGCCCCTCCACCTTTCTTATGATGCGGCTAGAAAGTTCATACTTTTTTATAACTCTAGTATCCGGAGTCAGCTTGCACACACCTCTACCATTCCGCCATATACTTGTTACCTCCCAGCAACACAAGATAAGTCTATCCACCAAGGCTTGGGCATATGTTAAAAATCACATAATACTTTTTGTGTCTGTTGGGATGTGAAATCTAATCTACCGTGATATTTACCCACTTTATTGATCCCTAAGCCACACCCTTGAGTGCTACTGGAAAGTGCATATTTTGAAGAGCAGACTTCATTTATTCAACTATCAACTTTCGCGAAAAGAAGGGCTGTTTTCCATTACTAAGCCTTATTTTAAGTCTTTCCTCACCAACAATCTTTTCAAGTCACTAGATTTTGCCACAATTAAGGGGAATAACTTCGAAGCTGCATTATATGGAAAATTACTAACAAGATATCTGAAAATTCAGCTATATTGGAAAGTCGCTCTTCTACCTAAGGCAAGAGGCTATATCTCCATAATATGGGGAAGGTGATACTGACAAAACAGGCTTCTCTATCCCTACCTTCAGATAAATATTTGAATTTTAGTATATTATATCTCCATATAATAGTCTTCATTTTCATGATAATCATGTACCTGAGTTTCTTTTAGTGCCCAATGAGTTGCATTTCATTTTTCTTCTGATAGCTTTTCAGTTAGGGCCTTATCTTCTCCCTATAAAGTCCTGATTTTCTTTTTCTCAGAAACTGCACATATTGGATATTGGGCTGCTTCTGAATAATTCAGCAAGCTTAATAAACTAGATCGTACCAGTGTGCTTCAAAGAGGATAACAAAAAATGGAGAGAGATGCAACTCTTTTATCTAGCCAGAAGGAATCATCACTACAAAAACTAAGGTCTAATCCTTTAGTTTTTTATCAGCTAAGGAGCTTAAATCACTTTCCCGTCCAAAGTTCAAGTTTTTCTCTTATGCATCCAAATAAATGAGAATCTATATTTCCATTTATGTTTCGAAATCCCACAATGATGCTCAGGCAAATTCCCAGACCCGAAATCACCAAATCAATCATCAGAAGACAGTAACCAAAGCAGCTAACACAACTTATCCGTATAAAAGGTCGAGGTGCAGTATCTACATTGTGTGCTTATGCAGTCCTATAAACAAATCCCACAAAAAATAAACTAAGCAAGCAATAACACCATTGCAGCATCAAGATTTAATAATGCATCAAAATCAAGACTTTATCAATTTCTTCTCCATTTCAACACCTGATTCCTGGAACCCAAATCACATGTCTTCAACATCTAAAGAAAAATCACACAGAAAATGTAAAAGTAAAAGAACAAGACAGTAGTTACTACCTAACAAGAAGGACACAAGAGAGAGTAGTTTGCCATTTATGTCTCAAAATGCCACTATGACGCCCAGGCAAATTCCCAAACCCAAAGTCACCAAAGTAATCATCAGAACACAGTAACCAAAGCAGGTAACACAACTTATCAATACAAAAGGTCTAGATGCAAATTCCTCCAGCTTGATTGCAGAAAAACTCCAAATTATCATAAAGTTAGTGAAAAATGCTGTAAAAATAATCTCATCTGTATCTATATTTTGTGCTTATATGATCATATAAACAAACCCCACAAAACTAGGAAATCTTAGTAGCTCAGTTGGTTGGCTACCTGAACTTCCACCTCATTCGATTTCCCACTTCGTAATCCCCTTCCCCATCCCCTACCAACAACTTTGAAAAAACAAAAAAAGAAACTAAGCAAGCACTAGAACACCCATACCAGCATCAAGATCTAAGAATCCATCAAAATCAAAACTTTATCAATTTCCTCTTCATTTCATCACCTAATTCCAAGTACCCAAATCACATATCTTCAAGATCTACAACAAAATCGTATAGAAAAGTGCAAAAACAGAAAAAATAAGAGAGTGGGTAGGGTACTAACTGACAAGAAGTGTACGAGAGAGAGTCCATTTCTGAGCACGGCCAACAATGGAGAAAGGCAACCAATGTGTAGGTATGAAGGAATGTAAGAGTGATACAGTAGCAATTCCTCCGATTGTGGAAAGATCTTCTGCTGTAAACCCACTTTCCATTTCGCAAATTCAACAACACCCAACTCAAAATCTTGGCTTATTTTGAAGATCCCACACTTCACCAGTGAGGTTTGTTCTACATTTCTGAAGTGCTTTAATGGAGGAAAAAAGTTGGGATTTTCTTTTTTCGGATGAACTGTCTTTTTCTTTAGTCTAAAATGTGCAATTAGGTTCCTCATCTTTTACTAGTTTTGATTTTAGTCACCCTTCTATGCATGGCAAATCTCAACTTCTATTACGCCGCTCGATGATGGTCTAGAGCATCGTGTTTATCTTCTAATTAATCGTATACATATTATTTTTAGTTGTTATTATGTGTTAATTAGTATGTTTAGGTGATCACACTACGTTACTTTGCATGTATGGTTTGCATGACTTTTCTATTTGTTGTCATGTTTTCTTTAATATTGTTTTTCTTTTTCATTATCTATTTTGATTTGCTTCACTTAAATCAAGGGTCTTCCGAAAACAACATCTCCATGGGTAAGTTCTGCGTACACTTTATTCTCTCCAAATCTCACTTTATGGGATTTTTCACCAGATATGTTGTTGTTTCCCACTCGCGTTAAAGATATATACTCATGTTCAAGACAATTTTATTGACATGTCTCTCAAGACCTCAGATCAAAACTTCCACTTACAAAAAAAGTTGATACGACTCAATTTTCAACACTAGTATTCCTCGATATTCTTTGATCGTCAATAAAATATTCACAATAAACCTTGTATTATATAATTTATCTATATTAATTTATGGGAATGTCTTATTATTTGAAGTGACATACATGGTATCATAGAGAATAATCAATTCCTTCGAAACGGAGCTTGGTCTAGCTCTATGATACCAATACGATATATATCATATATTTACATCGTAGATGGCATATTAATTATATTCTTTTGAAGGAAAAAAACACTCTTCATTCTTTTGTGATATTCATATGGAATTATATCATGTATTGTCAAGATATGTTAGATGACTAGTTTATTCTTTAAAAAAAACACTTTTTATTCTTTTATAATAGCCACATAATATATATTATATATTGACATGATATCATAGAGAATTGATTCATTCCTTTGAAATTAGTCAATCCCCTCTGAGACCAATCTAATATAGATCATATACTAAACACCTCTCATAGAGAACATGTTCATTCCTTAAAAATAAAAAAAAAATTATATTATAAAAAAAAATATTACACTTAGTATTAATATTTTAATTTTTATATCATTTTTAACAAGTTTTACTTGTGAAAAATAGAATGATAATTTAGATATAAATTTTGTTTTTATTTACAAAAGAAAAAAAGTTGTACAAATATTTTCTATTAATTTAAATTTTAACAAATAAGCTCGTAACTTTAGTATTTTTATTAATTAATTCTTGTTGTAATCTAATTATTTAAATTTTGTATTTTTATTAGTATGAAAATAATTTGCTAATATTTGTATCTTTGTACTTTATTTTTGTCTTTAAAAGGAGGGGGGGGGGGGGGGGGGGAGAAAGAAAAATAAAAAAATAGAGGATAGAAAAAAGGAGGAAAAAGAAATAAACTATTGATAAAAATCACTAAAAAAAGGATATACCTAATTCAAGGTTAAGCGGACGCTTGCAAAGTAAAATCAGATGCTAAATAATAAGTGAATATTTTATGTAAATTCTTTGAGCTTTTGTGGATAAAATACCTTATATGTGAGTGAATTTAGATAATCATTTTACCTTAGTCAGTTTAGTTTTTTTTCTTAATAATAAGTGAACTTAATTTTAAATAAATTGAATTTTCTCATATATAATATTGCTCCATTTAACTTCATAATGTTTGTATTATTAGAATTCATAATATGTACATCGATTAATTTTGTGGTAGTTGTTAATTTACAGCAACTCACATCTTTCAACAAGATTTGAGATTGTTAACATGCATGAACAAGCTTACACGCGTGAAATTACTCGTGTATTTAATCAGAAAAACAACAAAAGCAGTTGGCAGAAAAGGGCAAAAACAGCTGGCGAAAAATAAACAAAAGCCGCTGAGAAAAGGACATACCTAATTTTCGATAATAAGTTAATCTTAAACCAAATAAGTTAGTTTCCCCATATGTAATATCGATCCATCAAATCTTATGATATATGTGTGGTAACTGGTAAGGATTCATCATAAATTGATTAATTTTGTGTTAGTTGTTAATTTATCGTGACTCATATTTTTAAACAAGATTTGAGATTGTTAACATGAGCAAAGCTTGCACAAGCGAAATTCGCTTTTTATATAATCAAATAGCATACCATGAAATTTCATTAAGTGAAGTTTGAAGAAAATAGAGTATGTGTAAACCCTATGACTATTATGGAGGACCAAAGAAAAGTAATTAACAATAATTAGGTACCTAACAGGCTAACACTATTGAAGTCAAGAAAGTTAATCTTGTATGAAAGTCCTAAATACTCACTTATTTATTAGTACTTAGTTGACACTTCATAAAAGAACTCAGAGATAAGAGTTATTGCTAATTATTTTTTCAAAAATCTTATCTGACATTGTTAATTATTTGATATTTCCTCTCTAAATGTCGATAACTTTTATAAATCTCCCATCTCTCATTTTATATGACGATATTTGATTAAATTAAGACAATAATTTAACTATATATTAGAGTGAATTATTTTGAATGCCCCTCAAAAACTATTTAATTAAAAATATGATTCTTGTATCTAAAAATCAAATAATTCATTATGGTTTATCTTTGTATCACAACATCAAACACCAAAAACCTATATATTTATAAAAACTCCTACAATAATTAACAAGTGTTTGATTTTAAAGTACAGGGATTGTATCCAACTAAACAAATTGAAATAGATTGATCAGAATAATCAAAAAGCAAATCGGAAAAAAACTCATCTATCATATCATTCCCATAAACGTCTAATCCTAGATATTCGAATTGGTTTTTGTTATTCACCACAATCCTGTTTAGTCTCACTCACTTATTAACTTGGATAAGACAAAAAATAGGGAAGGGAAGCTACACAAACTAAGAAAATTTTCAAAGTAGGCAGAAAATAAAATTCAAAACTACTAAAGCATGCCATTTTATTTATGAACAAAGAGTTTAAAGACATGCTTGTACACCATATGACAGAAAGGGAAATGGGGGTGGGGGTAGGGGTAGGGGGGATGGGGAGTAGTTCTATGTACATAAGCTACTGTAAAGTTTGTTATTCCATACACTACATACACAAATAGAACCAGTACTGGATATGCAAAGAGAGACATCTCTAGAAGGACATGAAGATAGAAAGGGGCAATAGAAGATGCTGCAAATGAACAAGCAGGGCAAGGAACGCGTAATGGCATGAGAGTTTGTGAAGTAATAGGCCCCAGCTGCATTGGCTCATCCGTAACAAAGCAGTGATTGTTCTAGTGAAACCATGGACACGTTATGATTTACCACTATAAATGACAGATTCTTATTTGCGAAAACCAAACATGTGATCTGTGTATAGGTCTTCCAGATCAAAGATACTGTCGTCCTTGCTGCTAGGTTCCCAACAGGGATAAGTTCCACCTCCAATATGGCCAGGAATTGATGGTGTCTGCATGGAATCAACAGAAAAACCTCCCCCAGGAGCTTCCATGGTACTCACAAAACCATTCTTAGCGACACTGCTAGAAGTTGTACAACCATGGAGTCCAATATGATCAGCAATTGGTGATGGCAAACTTGCAGTGTTAATGCTAGGACCTTCTTGACTAGCTCCAACCAACTGCTTAGTCATTAGCTCTTCCAGATCATACCCAACATTATTGACTGCATGAGTGTACATTCTGGTACCACCAGCAACTGATGGTTGCAAGCCAAGTGATGGAGATGTCCTAGTGCCAACCCCACACCTTACTCCAGAGGTGCCCTCTGCCAGTACAGTGACTGGATGAGTGTACATTCCGGTGCCACCACCAACTGATGGTTGAAAGCTTAGTGATGGAGATGTCCTAGTGTCAACCCCACGCCTCGTTCCAGAGGTGCCCTCTGCCGGTACAATGATTGGATGAGTGTACATTCCGATGCCACCAACAACTGATGGTTGCAAGCTAAGTGATGGAGATGTCCTAGTGTCAACCCCACGCCTCGCTCCAGAGGTGCCCTCTACCCGTACAGTGACTGGATGTGTGTACATTCCCGTGCCACCACCAACTGATGGTTGCAAGCTAAGTGATGGAGATGTCCTAGTGTCAACCCCATGGCTCACTCCAGAGATGCCCTCTGCCGGTACATTGACTGGATGAGGGTATATTCTAGAGCCACCAGCAACTGATGGTTGCAAGCTAAGTGAAGGAGATGTCCTAGTGTCAACCCCATGGCTCGCTCCAGAGGTGCCCTCTGCCAGTACATTGACTGGATGAGGGTACATTCTGGTGCCACCAGCAACTGATGGTTGCAAGCTAAGTGATGGAGATGTTCTAGTGTCAATTCCACACCTCACTCCAGAGGTGCCCTCTGCCGGTACAGTGACCGAATGAGTGTACATTCTGGTGCCACCAGCAACTGATGATTGCAAGCTAAGTGATGGAGATGTCCTAGTGTCAATCCCATGGCATGCTCCAGAGGTGCCCTCTGCCGGTACAGTGATTAGGTCTTCTACCTCTTGCAGGAACTCATGCACGTCAGGAAATGAAACTGGATGAGTGTACATTCCGGTGCCACCAGTAACTGATGGTTGCACGCTAAGTGATGGAGATGTCCTAGTGTCAACCCCATGGCATACTCCAGAGGTGCCTTCTGCCGGTACAATGATTAGGTCTTCTACACTTTGCAGGAACTCATCCACACCGGGAAATGAACTATTCAACTCACTACCAAGAGCAGCAACAAGTGGGAATTTCTCGGGGTTAACAGCTGATGGTCCTTCAATAGCATCAGTCGTGCAGTTTGTAACTGACCCTGGTAAAGATAGCATCCCTGTGTCGAAAGCTTCAGTCACATAGTCGGCAATTGGCCACTGAGATTGTCCTCCACAAGGTCCTGTCAACTCGTCAGATTTTTGTCCTTGTGAAGGTTCAGTAATATTAGCAGCACCCACACTAGTGACATCATGAATGCTTTTTCTCCTCTTTGCGTTATTGTCATTTAATCGACTGTAGTACTTCTGGGCATGGCTTGCCACCTGTGTTGGTGTTCTAGAAAACACAAAGTTCCTTGATATACCCCGCCAATCACCCTTTCCGTGTTTTGCCAATCCCTGGAGAAATGACCTAAGAAAAGAAAGAAGATTAAGAAGTTGCTAGCTTGGGAATTTAATCCATTCAAGACAATATCTGCTTGAAACTAATGCATTCTCTCAAACAGAACAATTTTATGCATCTTTGAAATTCTAATCACAGTCGTTATAATTATATAGACATTTTTTCTTCCATCTGTATGCAATGACCACATCTAATTAAGTTCGAATTACCAAGTTCAGTATTATTTCAGCAGTCTTTTATCACTACTGACAGCCTGCACCCAGCCAAAACAATACAATATACTAGTAAGGTGCTACTTTGGTGTTTATAGGATCATCCCACTTATCAAGAAGAAATGTCTATAGAATCATCTCCTCACTCACCACATCATTCGTTGTTGCAATAGTCCATTGCTATTCAATCCTACTCAAATTGTAGAAGGATATATTTCTCTTATCTTGAGAAAAATGGAATAGAAGAACAACAAACCCTACATCTTGAAGGATATGAAAAACCATACCAAGAAAAGGAAAGATAAATATAAGTATCGTAAGCTGGAAAGTTTTTCCAGTACACAAATTTGCTCTAGTCTATTTGACCCAATCATTTATTGCCAGCATCTAATTAACCGCCTCTTCGGCCTACACATGGTATTCAAAATTCATAAGGTGCTAAAGAGGAAACTAGAGGTCTTTAGTTAAAAAATGAACTAAGCTTGGTGGTGATATACCTATATTGTTCACATCACTGTTCGTCAACAATAATTCACAAGTGTTTCCAGCACGAGTTAGATTGAAGCCTTTACAAGTCTGATGTCTACAGTACCTTGTCCATATATAATAGTCATTCAGCTGTTTACGAATAACAATTATACCGATGACGCAGTGACTTACGTTACAAAACTGATATCAAGCTGTACTCCACTCTTCTATGAAAAAGACAAACTTATATAGAAAAAAAAAAAGCACTGTATTTAATTTTTCTTGAGAACAAGCAACTCAAAGAGAATTGAAGAAATTACTAACAAAGCAGAGGGGTTTTCTTTCATATTTTCAGACACCAAATTTCTGCAAACTTTCTGAGTGGCATATTCTAATTCAAAAATTTCACACCAGATCAACTAAGAATCTACTCTACATTTAAACATAATATAAAAATAGAAATGATTTTAGTTACGCTAAAGAATAAGACAGCTTCTGTCAATTTTTTGGTCCAAATAAACAGACTTGCTGTCAATCTAAAAAATCACAGGAAAAAGAAGCATTTTGTTGCACAGAAATTCTTAAAGAAGCTACTTTTAAATCCTTACTGTAAACAATAAAACTTTTTCAACTATCAAGAAACTAATGATTGAAGAGATCAATTAGTCATCAATTTAGTCAGATGTTTCGAACCAAACTAACATGGTAATTACAAAATATACAGGAAAGCCTCACCTGTGTTCCTCTGCAGTCCAAGGAAGCCCTTTTCGTCGTTCTACCCCTGCTCCCAATGATCTACGTCTGCAGCTAGAAGAACTTTGCATTCTCTCATATTTAGGTAGCGGAACTTTGCCAGACTCTATGTCATTAATATCTTCAACTAATACATTATAATGATCTATAATTTCTTGAAGAGATTTCCCAGGAACAGCAGCAGCGATCTTCAGAAATTTATCATTATCTCCAGAAAATACAGCCAAAGCATTCTCAAATGCTTTGTCTTCCTCCTTGGTCCAGAAGGAGCTATTGCATGTTCGGTTGAGGCTCATTTTGTTAGATCTACACAATGAAAGGTTTGACACGAAAGGGATAGTTTCTGAAGAGTTCTCCCAAATTGGATAACTTCCATATATGACAAAGACCAGCATAAATATTTGGTGCATCTATATATAATTTTTTGTTGCCCTTGACACTTGGTTAACAGAAATGGCACAACACTCCCACTTCATTAATCAGCTATTAATTTAACTACAGTCTACCTCCAAGAGGTAGGGGTAACTGCATACACTCTAACATCCCCAGACCCCACTCTATGTGATTTTACTAGGTATGTTGTTGTTGTTGATTTTAACTACAGTAGTGAGCGACTGTTAAGGGTAACAGGCAGGTGGCACACTCAAACAGAATGACCGCAACGATTTTTTGATCTAGATGTTAAGGTGCACATCAACATGGAGGAAAGCAACCAAAGTTCACAGATATATAAGATTTTGAAACGGTCACTGGCTAACTAAGCAAGATTAATACAGCAAAAAATTACTTTGTGGAGAAAAATTAATCTAGTGCCTGTTGTTCCTTTATTAATCACTTCATATTTGTTTTTAAAATCGTTAACCATTTAAAGCAAGCAAACAGTAAATGTCTGATTAATGAACTAGCTCTAGGAAGGTAAAAAAAAATACGACAAGGGATATTCAAGATGAGCAAACTAGTAAGAATTTGACCAGATATTTCTGTATTAGGAATAGGATCTACAAGTCCCTTCTATATCGGGTCCAAAAAGTATATAATAAAGAGATCTTGTCCCCTTATTTTTAACTTTTGTTATTAAAAAGAAGATTACATTAAAAGATGCTGCATTCCGTATCAAAAAAATATTATAAGACCCAACGAATGAAAATTGCGCTTAAGCTGAACTACAAGTCTATAACTACAGCAATGAAGCATATCTTTCTATATTTGCTAGAGACGAATCAAGAGGATATCTGAAACAGATCTATAGACTAGCACATAGAGGATGCAACAATGTCATATGCACATTCGCTACTATCGCTCATACTATACAGCTAAAAACATTAGAAGATATGTATTTATAATACTTTTGCACCCATTGGCACAAAGGAGCAGTTCGAGGTACTTTGCACCCACTAACTTAAAATCCTAAATCAGACTTTTGCCTTGCACCTCATAAAGTAAAACAAAGGCATCCAGTTACACAAATGGTGTACCAAAAGATTCAATTTTGAAATGTTTTGACATAAAATTCGAATGAAATGCTCCACACCACAATCAACAAAAGCATCAATCTACAGAATCTTACTATCTTTGGCATAACAAAGTTCCCGTTTTTAACAACTAAAATACTTAAAGATTTGGTTCACCGGAGAGACAAATATTTTCAAGTAATTTGAAAAAAATCGAAAAGGTGAATAACTTCCACAAAGTTTCTTGTGGAAGAACAATGTTGTAGAAACATCAAAGATGAGCAGTTATCAAATGGACACCACATAATGCACCAAGTAGAAGCTAGCAAATTATAAATCCTTTTTCAATTTTAAATAAATCACAGATGACAAACTTGAATATGATCAAATGCCAAGAAATTCTACTAGTTTCCCAGCAATCTTAACCTCCGAAATAAAAAGTGTGCAAATAATAAATTTAGAGGTCCAGAATAGTCTAGGGCTGACATACAAGTCCATAGCAGTTAGAATGACTTACCTCAGTTAGAATAGCTCATGTTATAAGAGAAACCAAAAGACGAATATGTTCTTCAATTATCTTTCATTTGAGTTTTAGTAGTAGAAGTTCCAAGATAAGTGTTTCCCTCTCATCACCAAATAAATGAGATGGCAGCATTATTAAGTTGGGTAAAACATAAAACTCTTGGGGTACATCTAAGAAGGGTTCATTTCCCAAATTTTCCTTCTACAGGCTTCGATTTGCAGAAAATCATCCTAAGGCAGGAATCATAATCTGACCCTTTATATTACAACTAAATAAACACTTAATACAATCTCCCAATAGCCATATGTTTGTAAAATATATGCTATTACTTCTAATTTTTTATGGAACTAAGTCATAAGAAAAGAATCATTTTAGTATTCTCATAATCTTATCTCCACTATTCCACTACTTATCCCCATTATTCCATTTGTCTCCTTTTTCTTCGTTTGTTGGGGAAAGGGGGCCAAATGTTTAAATGGCTTCATTTGACATGAAAAATTGCTAGTGCATTGTGTTCATGTGGATGAACCAATTCATGATTCACTAGTCAAATGGTACTCCATGGTAACAGAAAATATCCACACCAAGCTTTGAAGTCAGGGTTCCGGGCATAATGCGTGTATTGTATCTCAAAAGCTTTACTTTCTTGAAAGTGGTAAGTTAGGAGGAAAAATCTCAATAATATTAAGTAAATATCATCCTAAGATTGTTCAACTCATAACAGTTCTACTACTCAGATACATCTTGAAATACCAAAAGCTTACAAGTTTGAGAATAAAGTCCAACAAAAATGATAAGGGAAAAAATCCTAGCCACTTTGAACAAACAGTCATCATATAATGAGTAATTAATTCCTCAATAGAAATCAGGAATGCAGATAGAAGTTATGTTCTCTTTTTCTTGGTTTTACCCTTTTCAGTACATGTATCGGGACTCTGAAAATTCTAGCACACTTGGCAGAAAGGCATTATAACAAAGTTAGTATGTCAAACTTCTCTTTTTTTTGATGAAGTAAGTATGTCAAACTTCTTTAGCCTCATTCTATACTCTAATTTAGCTTCTGACTGGATTAACTGCAGTATCAAACCTTCACTCACTGAAGACTGAAAGTAGGTCCAGATGCATAGATTTATTGGAGAAAGCTTACAACAACAACAACAACATACCGAGTAAAATCCCACTAAGTGGGGTCGGGTCCACCATAAGGGGTGCTAATTTCCCATTAGTCCATTAGGTTGTCATCTTCAAGAGAAGAAGTTTCAAGAATCTTGGATCAATAATTTAGGAATATGGAGAGATTGACAATCATGCTACACATCGCATTGGAACTGGGTGGATGAAGAGGAAGCTCGCATCGGGTGTCTTGTGTGAGAATGTGTTGTCAAGACTTAAAGGTAATGTTTTATTGAGTGGTGATTAGACTAGCTATGTTCCGGTCAAGAACTCATGCATCCCGAAGATGAGAGTCGCGGAAATGAGGATGTTGAGATAGATGTGAGGGCATTCTAGGAGAGATATGATTAGGAACGAAGATATCCGGGACAAGGTGGAAGCGGCCTACGTGGTAGACAATATGAGGAAAGCGAAAATGAGATGATTCGGGTATGTGAAGAAAAAATGCCCTGATGCCCAGTGAGAAGGTGTGAGAGGTTGGATATTGGGGGGTTCGAGAAGAGGTAGAGGTACGCCATAGAGGTATTAGGAAGAGGTGATAAGACATGACATGACACTCATGCAGCTTACCGAGGACATGACCCTAAATAGAAGGGTATGAAGATCGGAAATTGGGTAGAAAGTTAGTTGGCAGTCGAGCGTTGTCTAGTTTCTCCTACCAGTTGTGCTACTACTATTTTCTATTATCTCTACGGTTTTAACACCACTTATTATTTCATTTTGCTTTGATTGACATACTATATATTGTTGTCAATGTTCTTTTATTTATTATTTTCAACATGCCTTTTTCACTACTGTATTTTATGTTTGAACCTGCTTTGAATTTTTTATGTCAATTTATCTGCCTTCACAAGTTAGGGGTGAAGCTTGCGTACACACCACCCTCCCCAGACCCGACTGGTGGGATTACACTAGGTATGTTGTTGTAGTTGTTGAGTCCATTAACTTGTTCTCCTCCCAAATCCTACTTATAACATATAAATACACTATTGTTTACAACTTTACCATTCTCAAAAAAAAAAAAACATATAAATACACTATTGTGTGTATTGGAAAGAGAGGTTTTTCCACCATAATATAACAGCTTAGGTTTGAAAAGAGACAAATGCTTTGCATCTTAGTAGAGGATACATAGGCTACGAAAACAAGGGAGTTCATCCATTTGTGGATCCCAACATCCGATAACTCAAGCCATGATTGTTGCACATCCGCTTCCGTAAGGAGAAACCTGTAAACCTCCTAAACTAGGAGTTATATTGAAATACTATGATTAAGAATCCTTCTTTTTTTCTCTTTTTTTAAAGCAAATCTACTAGGCAGGTTGCCTAGGGCTAGTTGTCTTTATTTTAATATAATAAAAGCGAAACTCAAAAGAGAAGTACAAGCAAGCGAGTTTATGCCTTACATCACTAATCCTATTGAGTAAAATGTATGCCAGCATAGAGTTGCCTCTTTCAACTGGATTGAACTTCCAGTGTCTGCTGGGTATTCTTTTCACTAGCATAGCAAAATCCCAATTCATCAGAGCTCTAGAACTGAATTACCAAGATGTGTATTTTCTGTAACTCCCAAGAAACTACGGCATCAGCATGGCCCAAATTCTAGTTAATACTCAAATATTCAAACAGTGAGAACAAATCGAAATGCTAAGCTTCAGAGACAAAAAAAATCAATATGATCTTTTAATTAGTTTTTCAAGTGAAATTTTTTCCCCACTCGCAACTCTTTTCAAGTGAAATGCATGTCTAAACACATCTTCAACCTCTCGACGCCATTTTTCAACTTCAAAAAATCCTCTTTTTCAACTTTAACTAAGATGTCCAAACACATACTAAGAATCCCAAAAAAGAAAAAAAGAAAAAAAAAACGATAAATATACAGCATAGAGATGTCACACTAGATTGTCACTCTTGTAATTACAGCTTCTACAGTCTGTTGAAACTGAAAACCATCAGAGTTACAGAAACTGAAACATCAAAATGGGGAACAGTCTGCAACTCCCCAAAAAATATACTAGCATTACCCAAAATTCTCAACAACATAGCCAGTCTAATCCCATTAGTGAGGTCTCTGGAAGATAGAGTGTACGTAAACCTTATCCCAACCTTGGGAGGTAGAGAGGCTGTTTCCGATAAAATTCTCCAACCACAGAGATACATATCAAAATTCCAATGTTAAGATATAAAGAAAACATAGGAATAACATTCATATCTGATAATATAGCATACATATGTCACATTAGTATTATTCAACCAATAAAGTTTCTATCTTTTTCTCTCTAGTAATTAGAACTTCTAGTGTTTGTTACTTAACTTTACAACAATAACAACAATATAACGAGTGTAATTCTACAAGTGGGGTACGGACCCTCGACTATAAAACATATAAAA